GTCGAAGATCCATTTTTGGAACTCGCTATCGCTTCTGAGACTACAACGGATTACAAAACTCTACTGCAAATGGCGAAGTCCGCTCTAGCCACAAGCGAAGCTTCAATGAAAACCACAATCGACCCGCAAATTCTAGCACACTTCGCCATGGTCGCGCCGCCGACCATTGAGAAATCTACTATCGTTAAGAAACAGTATTTCATGGAGTCTAGCGACAATGACCTCGGCGGTGAGTACAAAATACACGAAGTTATTAATAAAAACTATATAAATGTCGTATTATTATAAATAGAGAAATTTATGTCAATCGTTTTTATAGGCGATAATTTACTCGGCACCGAAGCTCGCCTTCGAAGGATAAAATCCGCGAATAACAGATTCATTACTACATCGAAACGGTCACGCCGTGACGACGATGGCGACAGTTCCTCATCTACAACGTCCGTCGAACAAAGTCTGCGATATCGACCATTACTGAATGATCCGGAAGAGAGATCGATGAATCGTATCGAGACTGAAGGACGAAAGACTACCGTGGAAACAATTAAGCCGGATGTCAAGCAAAACGGCAGCATTCCTACCAAACCACCTGATAAAATCCAAAAACGTCGACCAAAAACGGCCAAGAATAGGTAATAAAGTATATAAATATATATATAGTCAATGATGAGTTGCAAAATTTTCCGATAATTTCGCGATAAATTATATATTTAGGAAACGATGATTGAACGCTGAAATATTTTTTCTCGAAGAGAAAATTATATATGCAAGTTCTATATATATATTCTATATATTTTTAAATTTAAAGTAAAACAAAACTCGATTTTTTCATAAAAGATAACCAATTGTATAAAAATACATGAGTTCAAAAGTATCTCTAGACTTACATAATTTTTCCATAGATCTGTTCTTTATTCCTGCACTACCTGAACTGGTGCACACGGTGCAATAAGTTAAAGCGAAACAAACGTATATTTGTTTTACGTTCAGACAGCGCAGGAATAAAGAACAGATCTCGTATTTCGAAAAGAAAGATATAAATATGTTATATGAGGAATCATCAATATCCATTTTTTTTTAGTCGTACAAATATAGCTTATACAAATATAGAAGTCGATGTTTATTGAACAGAATAACTAACCGTGATAGCTGACAGTAGAATCTGAAGTTTCCAAGTGCATAATGGCCAACAATATGACGGCGCGCGTGCGTTAATTGACACGACTTAAATGACACATTAATTAAATTCCATCTAATAATTATCCCACATCGTTAGTTACGCAGTGTTCCACACCGGTTGTACTATAAATTCTTCGCCGATCGATTTTTCTTTAATAAAGGTATCATATTTATAACTTTGGCATAAAAAATATACGACAAAAGCATTGTTAAAGTGGATTTGATTTGAAACTGAGATTTAATTTGAAGCTTGGCTACAAATACGGCAATGTTAAAAATTGCAAAGATGCATAATAATTAATGATCTCTGATATTATCGCGTAAAAGAAAAATCGTGTTCAGAGAATCATTTTACATAAAAAAAAAATGTTTACCAAAAAAATACAATGGCAGTCTGCATAGAACGATATCGGCATTCGATTGACTGCTTCCCTAATCGGTCGGTGCTTTTTATGATGCATGCGCAGGGTATCGCCTAAAGAAATTGAGGAATCAGCGAGGAGAAGGGAATCGATCGAGCGGAATAAGGCGACTTCACCACCAACGTCGTCCTCGGATCCGCTCGAGCCATGGAGCACGCGTGGCATTACCGACATGAACACAATATTGGCCTGGCGGGAAAACGCACCGGACAGTCCTTAATATGACTTTATGACATTTTGCGCTGCACCGATCACGACGTCGATGACGACGTCAATGTCAACGCCGTAGGGTCGCACACGTGGATGATCCCGCATAAAGAAATCTTACGCCCGAACGAAACCGTTTATTTTGAATATCCTCGGTAAATCAAGTTTTAAAAAGTCTACACACGCGCAGAGGGGCATTATATGCGCTTTATTTAATTCTACAATACGTCGAATTGATCTCTAACTTATTTAAAAATTGTACATAGATATATCTTTAAAACTAAGCAGAAGCAAAATGTATACGATCGTTATACAAAATAATTACACGAGCACGATAAACGAAGGATAAAATTAATTGACAATATCTTTTTACATACGTAAATGGTTGGCTTATTCATCCGTTTTTCCGGGGTGAACTTTGGAACACAGATTAGTGTCGCATAAATTAGGTTTTTGGCGTTACCACGTGGCGCTTAATATAAAAAAGAGCTTGGGCGTTTTCACGAGGAGTATATAAGCTCGAGCTAAACAGTTTGTAAAGATATACGATCGATTCAAAGCGATTTGCATATATAGCGATATTGTGTGTATAGGTACTACTAATACAGGTATTACTCAATCTTACTCGCGAGGCGCATATCTCATTATGGAAAACATGCCGCCAAGTAACAGGTTTCCGTATGATAATTATTAAAATAAACACATATGCCGGGGACCAAATGATGTTAATTCATCGTTACATAATTTTCAGAGGAGTTGCACGATGAGAAATTTTCTCATGCATGTATATATCTATTAAAATGAACCACTGAGGAATTTCTCAAAGATAGAGATACGGTTATATAGCGCAAGCAACATACCTTCGTAGAAGATATTTTCAACTTTAAAGGAGATTCCAGATTTTTACTCTTACAAGATTTACCAATTACGCAATTTGCAGCTAAAGTATTTAGTAAGTCGAACAGCTTGGTATGCTGCAATATCGTGTGATATAATAGCATATCTTCAATATATGCTAAAAAAACGCGACGAACTATGCAATATATATATTAATTGATTTCTTACTTTTATTTAATTTTTGCGTAGTTCACATTAAACATAAGAATAGTATCAAAAATATATTCCACGCATTGGAGAGACAATATCTCCAAATATTTTTATTTGAATTTTTCATCTACATATCTGTACGCGTGAATGTTATTTGTATATACAATATGTATAAAATAAATTATTTTTAAGTCAGTATGTTATTACCTTTAAATTCCTTAAATTAATTGTATTTTCTTTCGCGTTTTATCGTTCATGTACCACTTTCAATTTTAGTCAAAATGTTTGACAGACCATTACTCGAAAATGTAAATTGCGTTACTGACAAAACAATCAACCCTTGTAAAATTGAGTTGCCGCATATGCATACCATTTTACGTTAAAACGTTAAGCAAATTTACAATGTCGTTAAACACGTCATGCAGTCCGAACTTGCAAAATTTGTGCCTTTTTGCTCTCCACACAATATTACAAAAATATTACATTTTATATGTATTTCTTTTTATTATTCGATAATTGTTGCATATTTTATACTCAGTTTAATGCATAAAATAGAGTAGAACGCGCAAGAATATAAATCGAGTGATGAGCATCGATTTTCAAAATTTTTAGTTACTCGCAATTGTAATTCACTATGTCTATAGTCTATACGATATTCCAAGTTTGTCTGCAATCTCCATCTATTGTTGCGACGAAAGGAGCTGGAAAGATGCTCGACAGTCTCGGAAACAAATGGAACTTGAGAAGTTCTTACCTCTAGTATTGAAACAATAATGATATGAGAGGCAGCTCTATCAAAATGCATGCGATATCAAAATGAAAACACGTGCCGCGCACGGCGTTGAGAGAGGAAACGAACTTGCCGAACAAGCACGTTTACACACTACAGCATCTCGTTGGGGGAACGATCGAACAAACAAATTTCGAATATACCTCTATACGCCAGAAATTCACCATGATATTACTATCGAGAGCTTTATAAATCGCACTTAAGAGGAAATATCGCGTTACGAAATTGTTCCACAAACAGTACCTTATGAGCGGATGAGAGAATCATTTATGTATCTTATTGCTTTTATCCTCTCTTTCGTTTTGACAGACAACGTTTGATTTTGTCCGCATTTTTTATCCCTAATAATTGTGCTTGATATTTTAGCATATTATAATATAACAATTATAAATTATGTATGTAATGTAAAAATATCATATAATTATTATATATTATACTACTAGAAGTACCAAGTTTTTTACTCACTAAAAAGTCCAAGCAAATAAATTACTATGAAAATAAAAAAAAATAATGAAAAATCAAATATTTCGTCAACATAAAATTCATAATTCTTGAAAAAATTCCAGAATCTTATCTTTTACACAAGCAATATAATATTATATAATTTAAAAAATAAAAACGATTAATAATAATCGATCGATACTTCAAGTTTGTTAAATGTATTACATCCTATTATTTTTGGTAACATATTGTTAATATGGTTATTTATCGCGTAATAAGGCTTGGGTCTCGAATATGCCGCTCAAGTATTTACATCGGTCAGATCCGCCCGAATTAAACGAAGTGAAATATAGACCCCGCGGTATTCCGCAACAGAGCGGAAAGAAGAAAAAGAGGATATAAATTTGGAAATAAATTTGGATATAAAGCAATGTGCCACGCGGGCAAATAAAAATATCGGTCTGCCGAGTGCCGGGCATTCCGCCCACCAGATAATTTATCAACGGCCCGTCCCGCCAGCGATTTCCTTTTCTTTACATACGGCGGCGAATTCTTGAACGTAATAAATGCATAATTGAAATACTTCTCGCGATACATTGTTTAGATACACGTCTCGTTTTTCGTTTGTGTATGGATCAAGCGCAAGGCCGACCAGACCAGCGCAAACTGAGTCAGTTTGCAAAGCAGTGCAGCAATATGAATTTCCGTTCCACGTTGCACGATAAATTTTCTTACCAATCCGGGCATCCCGGAACTGTCAAAGTCGCTAAATTGATTCGCGCGATCTGAAGTTAGATAGTTTGCGAGGGCGGCAAAAAAAGAAAAGAAAATCTGACGTCGCGATTAAGGGCGCTGGGCGGATAGCAACTGAAGTACGTAATTATAGCTGACGCGTGTGACTAATCTTACGAATGGATTGGCGACGATGAGGCTTAACCGGAGGACAGTTCGTATCTTTTGCCTCTTATCTTTTCTCACGTATTACAGTGACAGCGAAGCGAGAGGAAGGATGGCAACTACCGATCGCGAGAATAGAAATTATTGCCGCATTTGCTCCAATCACACCATGTGCTTATTTCCTGTAAATATTTATTAAAATTGTTTGACTAGATAATATCCATGTGTATAAATTGTATCCATGTGTAAACTGCATTTGATCCACAGAGAATAGCAACTTTATAAGCGCGGTACTCAATCACGATGAAATATGCTGACAGACGTCCGAGATTTTCGAAATCCAATATGTCTAACCTAATTTTTTATTACTCGCTATTTTACATAATTGCGAAATTGAACGCTGCCTTTTTGCAACAAAAAAATATACACGGAGAGAACGATTTTGCTGAAATATATTTAAAAATTTAGCTAGATGCAGATTTGAAAATAATTTTATTGGGAAGTCAAGCATAATGAGTGACACTGCAAAATAATTACCTATGTAGGAAATATTAAAAAATTTAACTAGATACAGATCTGAAAATAACGCAGGGAAGTCAAGCGTAATGAGCAATGCATAAATTTTTGATATTCTATAATCAGCTTGAGCGCCTTACAAAATTATTCTGATAGTTTAACAAAATTATTTTCAAATCTGTATTTAGAAAAATTTTAAATAGGTATTAAGGAGGTTCTCGCGTTTGATGAAATACAAGACAAGTCTATAATATACATGTAATATAAATGTTAGTAATATCAATAATATATCTAGAAAAAAATTTCATTGACTTTTACCATATTATTTTGAAAATATTTAATTCTAAATTTATAGAATTTTACATTACAAGTCGAAGATATAATCTTATTCTGTAGTTATTCACTTTTAAATTGAGAGACTTGTGTATAAGACAGCAATTTAAAGCTTTTTTTCAATATAATTTATATTTTAATTGGAGAAAGATTTTTAAATCTGTATATATAAAGGCACAGTTAGAAAAATACTTATTTGAAAAATAATTGATAAAACAGATGACTTTAAGATCCCTTTAAATTTTGAGATATTTCAGCAAAACCATTCTTTCCGTGAATGTATCTTCAGTTTACAATATGGTATTCATTCCTATAGTCTGACTGCGAGAGCGCGGATTGCATCGATATGGTGAACAACGACCTCGATGAAGAGGATATCGAGGAGGTTCTCGAGAGTCATAATCGTTATCGCGTTGTCATTGCGAACGGCAAGGAGAGTCGCGGAAATCCTGGGCCGCAGCCCGCCGCAAGGACCATGATGGAATTGGTAGAAAAATCGACGGAACACGCGCGACGTGATATTTAATCATTTATCCCGGGGATGGTGGACGTCTGAAGTGTCATTTGTTTCGACAGATCTGGGACGACGAACTTGCCGTTATAGCTCGTCGATGGGCGCTGCAGTGCAAGCTCTTCGAGAAGGATCAGTGCCGAGATGTTGGCAAGTAACTCCGACGGATATATCTCATTTTTCATCCCTCCCTCTTGCCCTGCCGTTATTTTTCAATATCCAATAACCCATGCAGACGCGAAATTGTTCTACCGATACAACCACTGAAACGACTATGTGTGCAGCATTGTGAATGTAAGACCGCACAGTCCCGATTCTCTGATTCTCTAATCGACAGCTTGCGGATTTGGTTTAAAGTTTATTCGGAACTCTCATAGATTTCAGTGATTTCGGTGATATAAAAATATGCGAAAATAATTTTTATTTATAAGAATAAAAATACGGCAATTGGCGGAAATATCTTCGAAACGATCAATATAAAACTCTTCAAATACTTTCTTACAACGGTTTCAATATCTGCGAAATTAGATAAACGAGTAAAAGTTTTATTCGGGGTTTTAATAAAACAAAATTATGAGTAATCTTGTGTGTTTCAGGAATCATTAATTTAAAAACAAACGCTATACGAAGTCAAAGCGCATTATACAGACATTTTATAGGATCTGTAAAAATATCACCATATTCTATCAATATAAAAAATACATTAACAATTCCAGTAACACTTTTAATAATCCTATAGTTCCTTATAAAAATTCCCTAAAAAAAGTTCCGTATTCTTTATATTAAAAAACCAAAATTAAAAATACGGCGTATCAACTTCGAAGAATTTAGAACGACACTTTCTCTTTAAAGTACAAAAAAAGATAAATATTTCTATTTTCGACTACAGTTCGTATTAGTATTACTCGAGTTTTATCAACAAATGTAACTTGAAAACAAAATTTCAATAGTTACTAATTTTAATACACTTTAAATATAGAAGTTAGCACGTTTGGAAAAAAGTGTCGTGCTGATGATTTATCGCAATTCCCCAGCGACATTTAATTTTTGCAAAATTCTGTATCCTATAATCATTTGTAAACAGAGTTCCGACGGTTATATATTTTTAAATAACTTTAATATTTTCAATTTTGGTTTTTTAAAATATAAAAAATGCGGAATTCTTTTATTATTTTTATAAGCAACTGTAAAACTATAAAAAGTGATATTATAACTGTCATTTTTTTTTATATTAATAGAACTTTACAGACTCTATTTTATATCCGTTTTCATCAATGTGAATCAACTTTAATCTCGGTTCAATTTACGCTTCATCTTTTTCTAACTCTTAGAATTGGAAAAAATGTAGAATAATAATTCGAACCGAGATTAAAATTAATCTACATAGACACACGTAAATATTACTGAAATGTCGATTGTTGTAGAACGATTTGGAGTGTGGCAGAACGTAAATGTACTCGACATGGACAGCGTGGAAAATAGCACCAGTAGGGGAAGAATTCACTTTCATATTACATCGTGGTACGACGAGGTGGAACACTTCGACAACGCGGAAGTCGGGTAAAAGTCGAAAGTGCGAATAGTTATATACATAGAATGTACAGGATGTTCCATATCTAGCGAAATATCTGTCATTTATATGGATGTTCTGATCAATTAATTTTTGGTGAATTGATGGAAGATCATTTATTATTCGCCACAAATTTTCAATTTTCAATAATAATTATCTTTTTCACTTACTGACTGTTGAAAATTTTTTATTAAAATAAAAATAATTTAAAATCAAATTAAAAACATTTCCATTATCCGTTTAAACATTTGAGTTTTCGAAAATTGCGCTGTTTTTTCAATCGTTTGTAATTAAAAAATTAATTATCAGAACGTTATGGTTAAAAAAAAAAATTGATTCTACGGTAGTCAAAGACTCCATAAATGGAAAATAACTATCTATGGGATATACTGTATACGCAAATTACACGTCAAGGATTGTCGCGAACACATGCATGCTTCCCTTATGTGTATCTAGGTCGATAGTAACGCGTGCACGAATCGCGATGCTGTCGAGAGAAAGGTACAATGGCTCGAGTCGAGTTGATCGGAACGATTCCTTTGTGCCGAGAGACTCTACTATTCCTTTGTGAATGGTCGATGTTCGACCCGGCGCGGCGTGTAGACACAGCTAACTCGGTGCCCCGAATTTTGGGGGAAGGTTTGCAGCCACCACTCTGTTCTTCGCTTTCCTTCGTCTCTCTCCCGCCTTTTTGCGAGCCTCTATTTTATCCCACGTATCCACCATCCTCGTTTCTGCTTTCGCTGGCGAATACCCTCGTGGGAGTTAGTGCTGATTTTAAAAATCTCGGTTCCATCAAACGGAAAACTTTCACGCTCTGTCTTTATCATTCCTTCGTGAATCGAATAAAATTAAAAAAATAGAATAAACTAACAAAGTTTCAAATATACCTATATCTGTATCTTTTATTTCATTTTTAATATAAAAATCTCTTGAATGTGTAACAGAATTTATAAAATATTTATTTGTAGCGTTTCATTTCAATAGCGAGAAGAATATAAAATTCGTAATAAATATAATAAATCGCAGAAATAGTTATAAAATATTAAAAATATTTTATGTTTATAATTTTATTTTTATATTTACTAGAAAAAGAACAATAAATTAGCAATTTTTCTCTAAATTCTTTGGAGAGGAATTTCACTCTAAAAAGTGAAAATTCAGCCAGTCTTGAAAAAAGGATTTCATTCTTTAGAATGAGATTCCACTCCAAAAAATTTGAAGAGTTAGTCTATATAGTTTTGAAAAAAATAGTTTACTTCAAAGAGGGGTATATTAATGCTGACGCACACCCACGTGTCTTGCACTACCTGCTCTTCTTGGCGCTATGAGCAACAGTTCGTTTCGATCTCCCTTTAAAGCCGGTACTGCGAGAGGTTTACCAGGCGTTGAAGGACGAGCAAGAGAGGAATGAAGCGACTTGACCGTCGGAGAAAATGACCGAAGACCGATTGTATGGAACAGAGGGTGAAAATAGAGGAATAGCGGATGGTTCTTCTTCTGTCGCTGGGAACAATCAAAATCGCGTATTCTCTCGGTAAATTGGAAATCGAGAGTGCTATTGTACCGGTCTAAATTACTCGATAGTCCAGTGTACACGGATCCCCCAGCAGCTATAAACGAGCCTCTGTCGTTTTTTTATTATTTCGGTCTGATAGAAAAAAAAAGGTTTCAATTTCCTACAGGACACATGAAAATGCGATACAATCAGACTTCGAACTTTAACCTTGTAAAGTGTGCTCGAAAGAGAGCTGTACAAAAATGTATTATCCCTATTGCTTTTTTTTATATCTATACAACTTTTTATGTCAAATTTTATCCGAATATGTTTGCTAAGTGAATTGGTAAGAGAAATGTATAAATACAAAAATATCGATTATTCAAAAATATTAGGAATAAAAAGATAGTTTTCAGATACAAATTTTAAGGCATTTTTTAAGGCAATTTGTGTTAGAATTATCATACATGCTCAAACGAGAAATCTCAATTAATTCTACATTTCTTCGTAAAACTTAATTTTAATAATTTGCATTCACGACGTTCAAGATAAATCTATAAGATGCGAGTTAATCTCTCGAATGCTCTCGAATCTTACGAGAGCATCTCAAATTATGAAAAGATCCGTCCTAATTTGAATTCAAGTTGCGTCAATGGAAAGGGCTTGAGGCCCGAGACTGGCTGTCGACCGTCCACCTTAATTTAGTCCAGTTAATCGTACCTTTCAGACTAGTGAACTATTCTAACGCGGCGTGGCAACTCTCCTCTTACATTCCCCTCGCATCGGCGACGTTCATTTACGTAGGTTGCGGCCGCGCGATTTACACGCTCGACTTGAGCAAGACCGCGATGGCGCCAGGCGGGTTTGGGAATCAGGTCGAAGTACTCGTGTGTAATTACGGACCCGTCGATCGCACAGCATCCCAGCAACTTTACACGCTCGGCCGACCGGGCCTGTGCCCGCTTGGAACCCTCCTCAGCGACCGTTACCCATCTCTCTGCAGTAAGTACAAGCCCTCATCTTACGAGAACTCGAAGCTTAGCTTTTTCATAAAAGATAAACAGATTTCGGCAGAAATAAGGTAACAAAAAAGTTAATGCTTTAGAAGATACGATGGGAAATGTGTATTATTCAAATTGATAATTTTTTAAATTATTTTTCAACACAAATAATAACAGTGATTATATGATTCAATGAGTGTTATTTGTGCATGCAAGTGAATACAGGCTATTTAAGTAAATGGAGTATTCGTAAACTAGTATAATCGAGAAGAGAGTAATTTTATATTAAAAAATAAACTGAAAATGGAGAATAAAATTTTGTCACATTAGGCCTTGTTTTTAAGAGAATCGATTTTAAATGTTCATTGAGTGCACTTAACTATGTTTCGATTTGATGAATCTTGTGAACTGTTATCTCTGCTTATATTTGTGTTTATTATCGTATTGGTAATCGGAAATACTCAAAAATAGGATATTCGCACACGATAAATTTTATTATTTTATAAATTATTGAAAATGCTGTTCATTCTGTCGAATACACAATTCTGGTCTTTAAAGTAAATTTCTATGAACATTTTCTAACATGTTCTAATTCTTTAATTAAATCTATACCAGGCGAATATTTAAAGTTGATTTTTTTTTAAATAAAGCCTTATATAAGAAAATTTTATTCAACGTTTTCGAATTATTTTTTCATGTAGAATCACTTCCTTCCCAATTGTAGGTACTACTAGTTCACGAATACCCTGTATAAGGAAATATAATACTAATGAGAAATGCGCAAGATATCTTAACATCTTGTACACTCTAAACTTTGGGGAGTGAAATTTCACTCCAAGAAAAGTGACAGTTGTGCCAATCCGGCAAGAGTAAATCACTTCACTCCTTCAAAGAATGAAATTCCTAAAAGGTCAACTTTGATATATCGCTTCGCGAGGCAGAGCAACGCTTTTTCTTGCCCGATTCGTTCGTTTTGTGCAAAAACACGTCAAATACCTAATTTCGTCAAGATTTGGATATAGGAACTAAACTTAATATTTATCAGAATAAAATTTCAGTCTTTCCGAGAATGAAATCATTCATTCTCCGCAGAGATTAAAAATTAACTCTCGCTTGGAGTGTCACATTATTTATAATATTATGTCACATTACATATTGGAGATTGAGGATTGCGAATTAAAGATTAAAATTCGACCAATCAGATAATTTTAATTTTAATCCATTTCGTTTTAATTGACTGAATTCTAATCCTCAATTCGCAATCCTCAATCTCCAAAGCGTAGTGTAGACACAGGTATAAGAGTGAAAATTTCACTCCTGCCGGATTGGCACAATTACCACTTTTCGGGAGAGAAATTTTATTACCAAAAATTTAGAGTATAACACTAACAAATTCTGATAATCCTTATTCGTCAATACTGCTGTTTGCAAATCTTAAATGCGAAATTCGATACCACTGTCATCACGTTGTCCGCCTATACACGTTCGTTACTACTTATTTACAATTGAACACTTAAACGAGACGGTTATCCGTAGATTTGCCGCTTCATCGATCGTTACGAGACACGCAACCACTCGGTTAATCCTAAAGCACGAAAGCTCATTTATCTTTATCGGTGTTTCTGACAATGAGTCTCAGATGCCGGGGGCACTTTTGTGTAACAAGATTACTTTTGTCGGCAAAAGGAAGAAATCTTTCTCTCGCCGTTAATACTTGCTGACCCGTCTTTCAATACGTATTTCTATGATCATATATTTTTATATATTTTTTATATAATTTTATATATTATTAGATAAGCAATATTAAATTTAATAAAAGAGGATATAAAATTTATGAAGAGAGACGGAAATAATATTCAATAAATATGACTATCAGAACAGAAAATTTTTTGCTATCATATTTTTTGTATAAAAAGTATTTTACAATTATTTTTATTTTACCACGTTTTTTGAGGCATAATTTTAAGTGTTATTACGTATATTATTTTACTTTGAATTATTGGCCCATAGATATATAAAACGTCTGCATTGCAGTTTATGCGATTAGAACGGAGGGAACAAAGTTATCTTTCATTATCGCGTATATCTCCTACCATGTTGATCACATTAATCAACCGAACGAAACCAGGTTAAGGTCCGTCAATGTGGATCAACGTTTTCGTACTCATTCTCAGATGATATGCTCAGAATGATGAAATTGTAATTAATGCCGAGTAATCTTGCTTTACTAAAATGTAAAAAAAAAAAAACGATAGCTACTTTTTTGGACGATCAGTGCAGCTCTTGTCATAGCGATGTCGTAGCGATTATTCATCCCTTTTTGAACACCAAGAGCCTGACATAAGAATGATGGATCGACTAATATTACCGAAAAGGACATATCGACCGTTCCCCTATAATAATTTAGACGTTTTCATTCTTCCCACGTAACATGTTTCCGAAAAATGATCCCGTAAATAAATTTATAGATGTCCCAGAGGACCTATATGTATTCTTTATAGACGAAATATATTGGAAGTCAAACTAAAGAGAATTATTCTAACATAAAAAAATGTATCATATTTTTTTCATTTACGATTAAAATATGTAGTTAAAGAATTTTTTAATTTTAGGAATATTAAATACACTGAGAGAAAAATGTATTAAATTTAAATAAATATTTGTTTGAATAGTGCCAGTTAAATATTTACTAAATGGAAATATATTATATTTATTTGATGCAAGAATCAAAAAATTAATTTGATATAACTATAATTATATTTTTTATTTTACAAATATTTATTTTCCATAAATAAATATTTATATTATTCAATGTTTATACTATTCAAACAATGATTTATTCAAATTTAATATATTTTCTCTCAGTGTACGTAACTAAAGAAATATTATTTTGTAGTCTTGAAATTCTGTCTAACACTGATATATATGTACTTATCACTTCATTTAGGAACGATACAGGATTCGCCATTTCCGGGCAAATTAAGCCGAAGATCGCACGTAAGAAATGAGCAACGGATAAGCAATCGTACGTCTTCTACTGTCTATATTATCTCTTTGAGTCAGGTATTGTTATTGTGTACAATATCGCTATACTTAACGCTGCGGTTATTGTTGTATCGTAGATAAGCCAAACATTATTTAAAGATAACCTAAAATATTGAGCTAATATGTATCTATCTATCAGTTACATAACAATATCGGATATCAGGGATATCTAAATTTACAGTGCACATTGTGTGTGCATTTGAATACGCAATAATGTCATTATAATCTGAGTAAATATAACGTTGCTGTTGCGATCACGAGTAAATTGTGAGTAAAATTGTCAGTAACAAGTAGCCGATGATTTAACAATTATTAGTTTATAAATTATGGAAATGTGATAAACATGTGGAAATATATCGCATTACAACGGAATTGACTATGGAGATTTTATCGTAAATATCACGAGTTAAATCTAAATTTAACGCCTGATAATTAAATTTACATTTATCTTCGTTTCAATCGGAAAACGAAACCTAATTTATCATTATTCTAATTTATTATTAACTAAAATTTTATGTAAAATAAAAATGGAAATTATGTGAGTTTAATAAATTGAGCAAAAATGGAAAGTTTTTAAAGTTTTAAAATTAAATCGCGCCACTTTTGGTGGTAAATTAATTTTATACCTTCTTAAAAATTTTTTAAAACTATTACAACTTTTAATTTATTAAAATTACACGTTTCATAACTCGAATTTTATTTAAAGTAATAGATTTATGAAATCCATTTTAAAAGGGTAAAATTAATGTTTTAATTTCATTTTAAACTTGTATATACAACATATATATACATAGGTACATATATTTTTGAAATATACATTACTTTAAATAAAATTTAAAAAAATAACTTGACTTACCGATCGATGCGCAGCAGAGTTAATATATTAATCTGTAAAAAAAATGAATATATTGTAGCAATGCTCAAAATAATATTAAAAAAAATATTTCTTGCGGTAGACATTATTAACAAAGTGATATATAAAATCTATTTTTAAATATAAAGTTTTATTTAAATATCATATAAATTAAATATAAACACGGTAGAAATATCTTTTGTATACAACAAGTATCAAATGTCTTTTGTAAAAAAATAATTAAAAAAAATTTTCCCGCGCAGTTCACGTTACGCGATATAATTTTATATATCATATTTTTATTATGTATTTATATATATAATTAGATATAAAGTTAATGGTGTACAATAGATTTATTCGCGTTGCTTGCATTTTTTATATTTAAAATTTCAGCTTTCTCTCTTTTTAACGTTTGAATATTATGAATGCTTTCCAGCAAGAAATACAGATGTAACGCAGTGAATCATTATATACTTATTATTTGTTACTGTTAAAACAAAAATAAAATAATCACTGTATTACTCTGCGTGTCTTTTGCTGGAAAGCATCATATATCTATCTTATTTTAATCCTTAATATATATGATAGTTTTTGACATCTTTACTACACACGATGGATCTTTCGTGTCCTAAGGTACATTTTCCAAACGAAAGATATGCAAAAAACGAGAACGCACAAAAATTATTTTGTAGATGCCAAAGCAAATTTTTCTTTTCTGGAAAAAAATATAAACCATATTTGGCCAGATGTTTCTAATATTTCAAGAAAAAAAAAACGCTGAGAACACGAATGACCCAATCGTATGTATTAAATACAAAATTTTACGGGGATTTCAAGCAACGCAAATCTAATGTTGCGCAGTAACAAACGATTAATTCATTGAATAATAAAACAATAAATAACCATCGAATAACTTACCTTATATGTAGTTGCTCCGCCGTTGCTCAATGCCACTCTGGGCCGCCATTTCCTTATCTCGTCGTGACTTCTTTATGGCACACACACATACAATTCACATGCGAAAACGAAAGATCTATTTTCTGTGACTACACTAGTATACACTTTTGAAACTTAAAGTGAGACAGACATATGTTTAATATTTGACAAAAGCGAGAAAGAGAGTTTCTAATGCAGTCTAGAGTTCTAGATTGCAGGAATAAAAACAAATCTAAATTAAGTTAACTACGACATCGCGATTAATCCCTGTTAGACGACGATCACGCGGTACTTTGCACAGTAGCGATCGCATGCGACAAGCGACGGGTAATCTCTATTGCGTCACGGAAACCGGAAGAGCAAAGCGAGAGAACAATCGCGACAGTATATACATACAGAGCTATGCCGCTACGATCCGTTAGGCCTTTTGATTGAGCGTCCGCACTCCGCGACGTCTCGCAGATTAGACAGTATTGAACAGCGCAGCGCATAGGTCGATCAACGGAGGGGGAAGGGGTAGCTTCGAAAACAAACGCGACTCGCGACCAACTTCACGCGTTACGTCGTCATTGCCGCGCGGCGGTTGGCGGCGGTTGGCGGCGGTGCTACACTTGTTGCTCTCTGACTACACTCCCTGCATTTCCCGTTCTTCGAGTAAGAAATAATTCGATCGCATTTCAGAGAGCGAATCTCCCTCTCTCTGTCTCATATACACGTTGTTCAATGCAAGTGAATAAAGATGTTAAAATCAAAGGTAAGATACTCGACATGTTCGAAAGTATAATCGTCACTTTGCTGTTCATTCGCGCGATAGAATCCATATTCTCGAAAAATATTACGAAAATATTACAGTTATATTTATCTATGAATTTCACCAGTATTTTCGTGTGCGATATTTTTTAAGAATAAAGCTTCAAGTTTCTGTCCAACGAGCGTTGCAAGATACGCATCTCGCGTCAATTACGAATCATTGCGATTTTACTTACAAAGCAAATGCGTCGCGGCGCTCAATTCGATATTGATTCTTTCTCGCGATGCCAACGACTCGACAAATTTGGAAGTCCGTTGTCGACAACTTTGGGACAGTTTATTCTGAAATCCGACGCGATGTTAATGACGAAGCGAGAAATAAACCGCAATACGAAAATACCCGATTCAGTATTATATCCACACACGAGAGCATAATATATTAGTATACAAGAAGGATATATACATATATACATATTTTATGAACGAACACTCGATAGAGCTCATTCACGTAAATGAACTATTCGATTCGGTGACTCGCGCATTACTCTCCAACCGGAAACAAAGAACAAATTACATTCAGTCTACTATATCGGGAATGAGAGACGCAGACCGAGACGCGAATATACAGAATAACACACTGAATCTCGTTGAGAGAACGATTACCCACCCCGTTAAACATCGCGAGAAAACGGCAATGTTCCATCGTGTCGATTTCGTGTTCAGACGAGTGAACGAGCGAGTCGCATGAGACAGGTGCTTCGGTGGAAACGGGACAGTCGTTTTGGTGCGAGCGCTGAATCGCGAAAGCGAAATGAAATCGCACGGACTGTTCGCAGAGAGGTGTCGCGTTTCGAAACGCGTTGCTGTCGTGATATGAAGGGTAGTGGATAAGGGCCGAGTTCAAATACCGGTTGAGGCAATATTTTTCGCAATAAATTATTCACAGGTTTAAGATTCTCATTAACATCAAATTATTAACACCTTCGGACTCTGCATACATTATAATGTAAATTAAATTTGAAGATATTATCTGTTGAAGTTATTTAATTCTATCGATATCCTCTAAGAGAATGTACATAATAATATATATGTTTATTGGAAAAGTAGTTAAAATTATTTTAAAAAATTGTTTAGTATAAGTTATTTATTAAAGTGCGCATGAATTAAATTAAATTTAAAAAATAATTTTTTTTAAATAAAGACCCAATAAAATTTGGTCTAAAAGGATTAATATTCTTATAAAGATGCTTATTATATAGCATGAAAAATCATTAAATGGCTTGTTTATTTAATAAGTTTTATTATACTATTCCTATATTATACTATTCTGATTCTGTTTATGATTGCGCTTCAAAAATTTTTAGCGTGCTGTTTGCAGAATGTACATAAATTCACATAAAAATGTTTAAGTGCTAAGATCTATTTCGAGCAAAACATAGGATTTCTGTTATTTTAGATTTAATAAATAAGGATAACAAATAGAGTATAATTGGGACGGCGCGACATCTTTGCATGAGCGACGTGTAGCGCGTCATAAATACAGAGACCATATTTTCTTAGGGAAAATGAAGGGCAAACCTGCAAATTTTAGGACTTTATTCCTAAATATTTTTAAACTAGTTTATAACTGTCAGAAGTCTGCGCATTAAATTTTCTTGCGCAGTATACTTGAAATAACTCTCAAGTAAATCAAATCATCGCAAATGTGATTATTTTTAATTTATTAATAATAGCATTGCAGCTATTTTAATGTCAATTTGATGTCAATAACATCAAAATGACATCAAAATAGCTGCAAATGTAATTATTAAAAATTCAATTTTCAATTAATCATGATTCATTTTGATATTACTGTGACTGTCATTTTGTTTGAGTTAATTTTACACTTGCATAAAATTAAATTTTAGTATTTTGATTTCGTCTCGACGAGAAATCTCGGTCCGATTTCGAAATTCTTGATATCGTTTCAATTTTACCTGATCTGTCTCGATCTCGATTTCAGTCTCGGTCTCGAGTCGAGAGTCTTGTTGGTTTCGAATCGAAAAATTTTTTACGAATTGTATTTTTACTGCGGACAAATAAATGATAAATGTGTATCCAGAGAGCTGAAACTCGAGCCACGAGAATTTTGGTAAACATTTGTTAGGTCGGCTACACACGTCCAAGTAAACTTGTCAAGTATGCCTATGCAAGCCACTTGTACAAGCTTGTTTACTTGAAAATGTGACTAGTCTTACGCAGCTCGGCAAAAGATATGAAATATTCGCCGAAATGCTCACGACTTAAAATTTGGCTGGACGTACCTTAAAATAACTGATTCGCGGATGACTTCTCCGTTCAGTAGAAACTATTTTTCTTTAAATGTCATTTGTCTAAAAAAAATCTATTTTAACGACTCTTTCGTAAAAGGGCTCAGTTCGTGATCAGTCTTTGATTAGAAAACCTTTGACAGATAGATCCCACAGGATGATGTGCGGGATTTCCACTTATATGTAATTTTCGTAATGAATGTTTGATGATTGGCCCACATTCTCAATCTCAG